ATCTATTATAACCTTTATATTGTATCTACATCTCGGACTTTTTACAACACGTAATATTTCAGATAATCTAGTACATTCATTATGCAAATTAATAACTATTTTCAGATCTTCTACGGTTTTTCTGGTTTTTGCATTTACAGTGAGTCACATAAGTATTCGAACGACTTCAAATACCGACTTCCAAAAATTACTGCCCGTTTATAATATAGTTTTCAAATTTTTTTGCAATGGAAACAAGCGTTTAATCGATACAAACTTTATTATATAGTCCGAATACTAGTCTATAGTATTCAAAACAAATCCAGTAAATATCGAGGTCAACTTAAGAAGTAGAATAATAACAGAATGCAGAAATAATATATAGGGAATTGAAAAGAAAAGTGAATTTCAAAACAGAAAAAATGAAAAGAATTTCAAATAGAAAAAATGAAAAGTGAATTTCAAAACAGACTGTACTGTTGTTTGGTACAAAATGGAGAGCAGTTTGAAAATATGCTACGAAGATTGTGCAAAATTATTGTAAGCGTGAATCTATTCGTAATAAAAAATGTTACATGGAGAACGAAATTGTTATCAAAATAACTTTATTATCATTTCGGTAATAAAGGGAAACAAAAATATAAATGTTTCGTTGGTATGACTTAATTTACCATTCTCTGTTGCGGAGCTGGCAAAACGAAAAAGAATGTTTATTTTAGTTAAATATATTTTTAACGGAGATGTGATAAAAAATGTCCCGCAGAAGAATGTTTTCTTTTTTCCCATAGAGTAAGAAGCTCTAAAGAAAAATATACGCTTTTGTTTAAGAAAACGAAGTTGATCTTCGAATATCTCAGAGGGTGTTCGATAAATAAAAAATAAATAGAACACTTGCATTCCTTTCTCGAAACCGAAAAACATTTGTTCTGAACACTCCTCCGGAAATGTATCATTTTTGAATATGAACACTGTACGTATAAGGATTTTGAAATTTTTGATCGTGAGACAATAGCAATTGTTCGAAGTAGGCTCTTGAAAGAGTAAAAATACTTCTGTGACATACTATATTTTGTCACTGTAGCACTGAAGAACGTGCAATTTTCAATACTATTGTACACGTGTTCTAAATTGCACAGTGTCATAAATGTATTGGCACCATTAATCATTATTTAGAGCCGATCATGTCATATCTACTTATATTGTTACAATTAAAGCCTATCGTAAGTTCAACGAAGAGAATATGCTGGTACATAAAGTACCATCAAGATTTTTCAATTTATTTTTGCCATTCGATCCGGTATTTGACGCGTATTATTCCATCGTTTTTAAAGAAATTAAAATTTAAATCATCCGACAATTTCATATTCTTTTAGTTTGTACTAGTTCCATAAAAATATCTTTGGTTTGAGTAACTTTCCTTATTTAAAAAATTGAAATGATTGTGGAAATCAACGATAACACGATAATAACACAAAGATAGTCAAGTAATGGTTATTTTTTGATTTTATTTTACATTTTAATTGCTTGACCTCAATTCAATTTATTTATGTCGGAAATTAAAATGTCGGATACACGAGTTTAATATTCAAACAGAATAGAATTATTTAAAGGGAGAATGGAATAAAGCCACTTAAAAGGATGATGTAAAAGAAGGCAATTTTTGGCATCGTCTAGAAATTAAAACTTCCCACTGGACCTACAAAAGTATCAAAAGGAACAAAAAATTGCTGTGTCACTTTGCCGAGAAACGATGGAAAAGTTGTCAAAAATGAGTTTGGAATATATGAAAATGAGAATAATCGAAAATGCTCAAACGTCGTCTTTCGTCGTTTCCCTCTTCGGATACTGAACCATTTTTAAAATAACTAGAAATCTAGATCTCAGCTAGCAAATGAACCGAAGGTTTGAATCGAGCAAAGCCGAAATATCGTATAAGCATTGCTACATGGGAACAGCACCCATCAACGCGTTTCCCAACTTTACTTCCACGTGTACGTGTAAGAACGGCTTCTAGTCCGGACCTTCACTTTTATCTATTAATATTTGTATATACAAAATATTTTTAAGTATTTGAATGCTGTGGACGCATTTTCGTTTCTCGTGAAATACTGTTATTTGATTCTACGGAGACTTGGCATATTTGATAATCCATGCGATACAATAGTGTTGCAATCTTTTGATAATCTATGCGATATGATGGTGTGGCAACTTGGAAATCAAAATCTCCGTTTTATATAAGCATAGCTCTTCGGAACTTAATGCTGGTAAGATTCTAATTGTACGACTATATGTTGGAAATCTGCTCGCCCTATGATAATATTTTCTATACATACCAGTTGTCCCAAAGAATTAATCTGAATCGAATATTGTAAAATCCTGTCTATAATTAGGTGATCAAGGACAGAGGTATACATTGGATGAAACATTGCGTTTAAAATGTCACGAGCTATTTTGAAGTCATGGAATAAAATGGGTAATGTAATATTTTGGATACATTTATAAAACAGCTTTTTATGCGTCCATTAAGTATTTCGACCATAAACTAATTTTTTTTTGTAATGAATCGTGATTGATTGGCTTGTTCAACTGTGTTCAAATAGTTTCGGAGGTCCGTCTGCAAACAATGGCATTTTAGCGATGAATTCACTTCCTACAACTTCAGAGAGTCTCGAAAACCATGATCCACGAGGAAAACATCACGCGCTTCAAATTAATTCCACGTATCGGCTTTTAACAACAGTTCATTTAGATTTAATGCATTATATTTAGATTCATGATGTAGTCCTTAAATATTCGCTATATAACCGTCTACATAAGCAATTATCGACTCAGTACCGAAAAGGAAGACGAAGAAACATGACGCTCGAGTATGTTCGATCAGTTTGATTTTGACATATTTCGATTTATTTTTCACAACTTTCCCATCGTTTCTCGGCAAAGTGACAAACGAATTTTTCATTTCCAGGCGATGCCAAAAATGACCTTTTTTTAATGCTCCTTTATTTCAAGATTGTTCGATCTTACGTCTTTCAAGGAATAGTCATGTAAGAACTATAATTTCAAAATGTTAGAATAATTTACGACATGAAACGTGTTAAATTCATTGTATTATGAGAAGAAATATAGATTTACCGATAAAACGAAATTTTTTGAACATGTTTATTTAACAATTTTTTAAAACAAGTAGGCACAAAATAATAAATTTAATTTTTTTATTCTATAATTCCTTTCCAATTTCTTTTATTTATTTTGTATTTTCAATTAAAAAATCTATTTAGGCAGATTCCTACTATATCTATTACCATATACTATATGTGTTTAGGCAGATTAGATACTTTATGTCACTGTATGTACAAATACCTATTATAGGCCATTATCGTTACTCTTTGAATTATGATTCGATATACAAACATTGCGAATATTTTTCTTTATTTTATTTGATACCTTTTTTAGAAGCTTTAGACAGTAAATATAATGTATTTATTTTGTAAATATCGTTTAATGGATATAACTAGGTATGTAGCATATTTGAATTTAGCCTTTGCATATTTTAGTCACCGGTTTTTTATACCTATTGTATGTTGATACGTATAAATATTTTTCTGTTAGGTAATATTTTTTGGAATATTGATAAAATACAATCTGAATGTGCAAAAGATATTTTTACCGAGATAAGATATTTATTTCATCGTATTTTTTGTATTATTTACTTATGTTTATGTTTTTTTAAATTAATAATCAAATCTGAAATTCAAGATAAAAACTTTTGCAGAGGAAAATAAACTCGTAACAGCTGAAATCAATTTACTGTTACAGAAACCATATATATTTTTAATAAAACACTCCAGTAAAAAACTCGGATATTTCAGCGAAAATTTATGGCTTGAAATTCGAGATAAAAGAAAAAAAAAACGAATTTATATAAAAAAGCTGTTGAAAGAAAAAATCGTCGAGATGTTGGAAAAAATATTATCGAAATATGGAATTCATTGATGATATCGTTACTAAAACATTAGTTCACGGTATAGAGCATTCGTTAAATAAAATTATTAATGCTAAAAGTGATATAACGAAATATTAATATGAAATAATATGCCAATATATGTAGCATTTAAATACGTGTTCCTATTAGTCAATTATGGTAAGTGTTTATAATAAATGTAGAGTAAACAGTATGCATTTGATGAATTATTTGTTAAATGTATCAACATAATTTTTAAATTCATTCCTTGCTTGAAATATAACATTGTTCTAAATGTTTCCTAAATGTTTAAATGTTTAACGAGCATGTTTCGTGTATTAAAAATTACGAATATACGCGTTCGAATACTTCGTTATCTATTATGAAATTATGCGAGTTTGTCCTCTATTTTGACCACATCTATCCGCTTTCAAACTTTGTCTGTTAAATTCTGGTACACGTTATAACTGTAGAGAAAGGTTATATGAAACGTTAAGGATTCAATAGAATTATAACAGCATAATAAATACCTAATACAATAAAGTGGACAGTATATATATTAATAAAAGTGGCATTAAAAATGAAAAAAATGATGAAATAAAGAAATTTGATGACTTATACAATGGATATGAAAAGTGGAACATGAAACGACACGTAAAATGTGAAACGAACATGTAGTTTCCGTGTGCAATTAGTATTTCACAGTGTGATTAAACGTTTTAAAGTAGTTTTCTAATTTAATTTCCGAGAAAATTTCAATTTCAACATTTCAAAGTGATTTGTCAATCTAATTTCCAATTTTCGAGGAAATTTCATTTTCGGATTTTCGATTGTTTCCAAATGTACGGACCTCTCAACTAGGTCGTTTCACAGCCGAAAATTTCTTTGGCCCGAAATAAAAATGACTAAAAGCGAATTAATTCTGTTTAAATCGGCTTTACTTTTTCCAAGTAAATACGCTATACGTTCGTATGAATATTTGAAATCACAAAACATAACAATCAGGTTAAACTCGACTTTCCATATTATGTACAGTTTAACGAGGAAGCTGGGTACTCACCTTTTGAATTTCTGGAGAGAAGACTTCGCGTGGAGCCTTGTCGAGTTTCTCGAGTCCGAAGAAATTGCTGAAATTTCAACCATCGGTCAACGACTACCTATGACACTCGCTTTTTCGCGCGGGATAGTAAGATATTTACCTCAGGATCTGTCTGATAGTCATCGTTTTATTCACGGAGTACGGCAGCGATATCTTCTGCGCCCCCTAAAGTTTTCGTTCTTTTATTTATCGTTATCTGTAATATCTTTCGTTTTTTTTCCATTTCTTTTTCTTTGCGAAATAAAACGATAGAGTTTCGACAAGTTTCGAGGTAAGAGGTTTGAATTATTTCAAGAAACCTGTTTTCAGGTTAATCTTTCTTTCTTCGAGTCGCTTTTTCGGAGGACGCTGTATTTTCATCGTTACTAACAAGCAGAGTGCAAGTCCTTCGGGTCATTGATTTAGTTGAAACTTTGCAGGTTTGTAGATTTAGTCGTCCAGATCAAGAAAATGTACCATTATAAGGGCAACTACTCGATAGTTTTTGAAATATTTATGCTTAAAGCTTTATTATTCTTAACTACTGATTTCTTCCGAATAGTTAGCGATACTTCTCAATCGATAGTTATCGTTGTGGCCTAACGGTGACATTCGAAAATTCTTACGCTAGTGGCTGCCCGGAGTTCGATCCCGTCCATAATTGAACCATTCACTGCACAAATCGATTAACTCGACTTTTTGAAAAATCTTAAGTTTAAGTGTCAAAGCACTTGATATAGTCATAACTTTTTATATTTATAACTGTTCCTGATAATTAAGATTAACACCATTAAACGACAAAAATTTTTTGGCCATTGAATAATAAATAATTTATTTCAGAGGTTACTTTGATTAACTCTGTACTCTAACGTAAATCGTTGCAATAATGCAACTCGAATGCACTAGCAAGTTATGAATGATAACGGTGAATTCTTTAGTGCCGTCTTATCAGAATTTAAGTAAAATTTAGTAAAATTTAAATTTATTACTTTTTTCACTTGTCAAATCGATTAACTCTTTCAGTAACATAAAAATGGTAACATTACTAACCATCATCTTTTAGCTACTTTTTCTTATAAATTTTATATACCGTTAGATGTAAGTTACATTTGTATTTATGCATTTTACGATATTTATTTCGATTTCAATTATTAAGGGAATTTTAAAAAACAATATACATTATTTCATTGCATTTCTCCACTTTTTGTTTCATGGAGTTAATCAATTTGTGCAATAAACAGCTCAATTAATAGTTTTCTTTCATCTATTTTTTATCTTGTATTAATTTTTCGCCCATAAAAACATATAATTTTAAATAAATTATAAATAAAATTGTTTAACAAAAAAGGTACTTATTTGATTACAACAGTGGTATTTATCGTAGAAACAGGGAAATTATAGGTCACATCAACATCTTGCACATCGAATAAGTGGAGTATTATTATAGAAACATCTGCTGTTTGTTAATAAGTCTTTTGGAAAACAGACTTGATTAATATTTTTAAAAATTTCAAATATGCACTAGCATGAGAAATCGTAAAAGAATAAATTTTTGATTAAGAAATTTTATTTACAATTTGTTTAAAGTTATTTGTTCTCATGGACGAAAAATGAATACAAAATAAAAGTAGATTGAAAAAGAAACGATTAATTACGGACAGGATCGAACCCGGGACCACCAGCGCGGGAATTTTCGGATGTCATTAGGCCACAATGACACTTGCCAATTATTTGAAATAAATCTGTAATTAAGGCAATAATAAAACTTTAATCATAAATATCTCAAAAACTATCGAGTAGTTTTGTTGCCCTTATAATGATATGATTTTCTTCAACTGCATGACGAAATCTACAAACCTGCGAAGTTTCAACTAAATCCATGACCCGAAGGACTTGCACGCTCCTTGTAAGTAGAAAGTTAAAATTATTTATCGACGATTAATTATTTTGTGGCATTTTAAACGTTCGAAATCTCAGGAACGATCGGAATCGCAAGAACGAATAATATATTATTCGATGTAACTATAAAAGAATTAACAAGTATTTCGATCGAATTTCAATAACTCGAAAATCTGTATAAGGCTACATTTTAATTCTTTTTCTCCGTTCAGCTGTGAAAACTTTTACAGGTCGAAATATAAACTTCCTTTAACACTGTTTAGTTGCCACGTGTTTAGGTACGTTATTTTGCCTCGGCAACTCGAATTTGGAGTAGTTCGACCTCTGTAAATCGGAGTTTACCCTTATAAATCCAACTTTTCGCTATCTGTGCAACTCGAAGTAATTGCATGTAGTCAAAATAAGCGATCTATTGCGGTACAGCGAGCGATATATCGATTAGCAATTTATTAATACTAATCCTACCACGGTATACGTGACCATTTTTAAACATTTGACTGAAAATTTCACATTTAACGTTTATCGGTTTGATCGCTTGATTTCGCGATCTTTTTTCTCATATACGTATAATCAATTTCCCAACATCTCCTATTATAACATTTTTTTTTAAGTTTCCCATTTTGCTTTTTTTCATCCACCAGTGGTCGTGGTAGGTTGAGTGCTCATCGATTAGCACAAACTAAAATTACAAACTTTCTTAAGTCATAAGTAATAGCTCGACATTTGACTCCTGATTTATCTACATATTGTATACATATATATAGATATGTATATATGTGCATTAAATAACACTTTTACAAATTGAATATTTTTTATTTGAAAAATTTGCAATAAATCGAAACTTCTATAAGTCGAAGACTTTTAATTTTTAAGATTTCAGTTACCAAGGATAGATTGAATTAAATATTTAACAGGAATGTTTATTTCTCAATTTTTTAACGTTTCATGTAAATTCTGAATTTATCATTTTTTAATTATAAAATTTACACAAAACACTTATCTACTCAAATGATTCCCTTTTTTTCTAATATCATTAGTATTTTTTAAATATTTTCATTGCTGAACAATTTATATAGCAGTTTATGTAGACAGTACTTTGAAAGAAGTAACAACTATTTGGAGCAAGAATTGTTTAAATAATTTCATATAGACTCTACACAAATTTTATAAAAGTATTTTATTAAAACTATAATCAATTTTACGTATACAAAAGCTAGTTTTGAAATAATTTAGAAAATTCCAAAAAATACTGTTTTTCGTTAGTATTATTTAAATTGTAACTATTTCTTGCTTTCTTTTCTCTTAATATTTCTTTCATATATTATATAGACTGTTTTTTAGAAACCATTTCATAGAATAATTGTGTCGATATAATCTTGAACAATATACATATATGCATATTAACGCATTAAAAATAGAAATAGAGACAAACTATTTTCCAAAAAATATTAAAAGATTCTTTTTTTCAAATTTACAATTCTCATAGTTCGTTTATGGCTTTTCTATAACACCATTTTAGTGAAAAATCTGTCTCGTTTAAGCATTTTGATGCTTGTTGTTTATGATAAATATCACACAAGTCCATCAAAAGCTTCCGTATACATATGTATAAATAATTGTAATTTTATTAAATATCAATGTATCGATATCTCATTTTAGCAATCTAAGTGCAATATATTGTTCCACTGTCATCATAGATGAATCAGATATCAGTAATAAATGACTCAGTATATTTTCTAGGAAAATTATTTTGCAATTATCGGGAAAACGATGACAATGATAATTGAATTTATCGATAATTGTATTTAATTTTAGTTTAATGTACAAGCGATAAATACTCACGGTTTTCCTCCATAAAATCACTCTGTAATATGGCACGACTTGGTCACTGACTTCGCTTATCACTACCGAGAGAAACAGGGGATTTCTCTCTTGATCAGCAGCAACGTAATTTTGGTGCACTACGAACATAATGTTAGTATAATAGAAGGATTTTCAGTGTATTCGATTCGTGTCATAAAAAGGATTTGTTATTTATTTCCTTAATCTAATATTAAAAATAAAATAAAATTATACTTAGCGATTATGCGATTATACGATTATACGAAACTTTTTGAGAAGTTTAGTAACAAATCTAATGAATTTTTTAACCCAAACACCCCTTTAAATTTATTAAAGAGTAGGGAGTAGTTATCCTAATTAAATAATTAACCAAATTTTATTTAATTATTGAATTAGAATTGAATAAAATTATCATATCATTAAAATCGAAAGTAGTTAATGAAGAACACAACTTTAAATTGTGCAATTGATTTTTTAATTAATGATTTAATACTGAATACAGCAGTTTTATTGCCGTAGTAATGTTCGAAATATAATATAGTAATATTCGAGTAACGATGTTAGATTGCAAACAAAGTATCATGACAAACATTTATTGCGCTTTGGTAATTAATCAAATTAAATAAAAAATAATTAACTACCAAAAGAAGAATGTACTAGTTAAATAATGAAGTATAAAACTGATAATGTTCAAATAATGTTATTAAATTAAAAATAAAATATTGTATTACAAACGGATTTACTGATTTATCGTAATGAAATAAATCTAATGAAAAATAGTTCCTTAAGGAAGTAAGAGAGTAATGTCATATATTATTTAAAAAATGAAATAAAAAACTGATGAAATTCGAGTAAAGTTATGAAAATAAAGATAAAATATCAAAAAAAATATTTCAAAAAAATAAACATTGTTTAATAATTAAGGTAAAAAATCAACTAAGTAATAGTAACATCGTTATTAAATATTCTTATCTATAAAAGTGTAAAATACAAGAGTAGTCGATCGATAAATGTAAGATGATTTAATAGCAGAGACAATAATATCTCCGTACAGTGAAAAATCAGTCGTTAGACGAATGATTATCTGAACGAGTGCATGTAAACGGAAAATAATCAATTCATTGAAGAACAGCCTTTGACTCATTGTCCTTGCTATCTAATGCACATAAATATATTGTTATCTAAAATGCTTAGAAGTATCGGCACACTACTCACGTTTTCCGAGAAAGTATTTGAAGTACCAACGTGTCTGGTACTCGGGATTTTCCAATATCGGCGTACTCGGCGATCCAAACATCTGCACAAGTTTAAAATCAGTTTCAGAAAAATTTAACTTTATCAATAACTAAACGTAAAGAAG